TTCTTAATGTTGTTCTAGCCCATGACTTTTGCTAAGAATTTGATTCCAGTGATTCCAAATAAACCTAAACCCTTTCTTTATACCAAAGTCCACCTTTTACCATATGTTTTCATAGATTATTACTAAAATAGGCTACTTTATTCTCATGGAGTTACTACTTATAAAAATAAACTAAGGCTTGAGAATACTCCCCTTACCTGGAAATGGGTCTAAGAACTAGGTCCTTCGTGAGCTCTAAGAAGAAACTCCATGTCTCAACTGAGAAAACTTCATAGAATAGATTACTATTAGAAGGAGAAAGAGTAGAGAAATAGGAATTAGAGTTAAGAGTTAAGCTCCAGAAACTTACGTAGATCTGAGTGGGACAGACGTTTGAGCTTCGATCAAACAGAGATTCAGAGATATTGAAGGTTTTTTTCTAGTTTAGGAGAGGGAGAGAACAGAAAGATCAGAGAAAGAGAAGTGATTTTAAAGAAAAAAAATGAAATTTCTCAACGCAGAAGTCCTTAAATACCATTCAAACCCGTGTGAACTCGCTTGAGCGAGCTAATCAAACAATGATTTTTTTGATATCCTCGCTTGAGCGAGAAGTCCTGCACAAAAACTCTTATTCTACCCAAAAATAAGAGAATAAAAATAAGGGTGTTACAACAATCATATCATTAACATTTCAACCTTCTTATGCATCATATTGTGAAGTAAGTCACCATAGTTCTTTGACATGTTGTCCTAACATTTTTCAAACTAAATGACATTACCTTGTAGCAAAAAGTATCCCAAATGTGTAATGAACATGATCTTCTTCATATTTTCTTCAGACATTTTGATTTGATTGTATCTAAGTAACTATTCATGAAATAGAAAAAAAAATGTTAGGTTGTATTATCTACCAGCACGTCAATGTGACACAATGAGAAATCATCCTTGACTAACACATGAAAATAAAATTACTACACATTACAAATAAAAAATCTTAAAAATAAAAAAATATTTAAAAAAAAACTTATAAATATTAAAATATGACATTATCAGTTAAATAACAAAACTATCAAACAATTCGTCATGTCATTTGTGTGAGACTCTAAGTAAGGTGCAATAATTGTTACTTTTGGGTGAGCTCGTAAACTAGTTCTTGTACAAAAAACAAATAATATAAAAATTAATGGACTTTTCCAATAAATTTAAAATAATTTTTTTTGGGTTGTAAAAAGGTTAAGAGTAACTTTTAAAAATAGATAAATATAAATTAATTTTAATTTATGAAAGAAATTTTATTTATTTTAATATATTTTTCTTGTTTTTTTGCAACTTACAAGCTCAATCAAAATGGCTGCCGTACAAAAAATAGTTGAATCTATTGTTGAAAATGGGCTAAAACTTAATATCATTGATCAGGATGCTTTCGAAATAATACAGAACAAGTGTGAAGTGGAAATGTACTTGGAACACGATGTTAGTATACCAAGTTTAATGGAAGAATTTCTTGCACTAATTATAAGCAAATACCTTTGCAAAGTGAAAGTGGCGAGGCAGGGATTGATAAAAGGGTTAATGATGAGCCTGAAATAATGGACAATATGGATTGAGGAGTTGAAGTAGGCGAGATAGTGTAATTGACATTCACTTTGATGATAGTGGGAGAAAAAGGATTTAGCTTCTAATGGTGATTTTGACATGTTAAACCAGTTATTTGTTGGAACTACAAAGAAAGGAAAAAATAGAAAAGGTAGATGAAAGTCAAGCGGTATAAAGGGCAAAAAGACCACCTATGAAAAGAAGGGGTGACAGGAATTGAGGGCACACAAAAGACTATGTACATACTATAGGTGGTAAGGAGGATGCAAATATGAATACAACATTTATGGAAGGAGAATAGATTAGGGAGGTCTTAGACAATGTGTTTGCACATGAAAATATTAAATTTTTCTTGGTTTGAACTTTTATTGATTGATAGTATTAATTTGAGTTAACTATCAATTTAACATCTATTAGTTTTAAAAATTATTAAAATGGTCCTTAAACTAATTAAAACATTATTTTAGTCTCCAACACATCATTTTAGTCTTTATAATTTCAATAATTCATAAAAATAGTTCATAATCTAAACAAAATATCATTTTAATTTTCAAAACGTATAATCATTAATCATTTTAATCTTTATTAACTTTGACATTAGTTATTATAACATTCAAGTTGACTTAACAAGTTAAGTATTAGTTAATCATGTTATGATGATAGAGTAATATGCTTTGAAATTTATTTTCTTCCAAATTCGTTAGTTTAGTTTCTAAACAATCTTTAAATTTTAAATTCTATTAAAACTAAATTAACTGATTAAATATTTCATACATCAAATGTTACATATCATGTCTATATGACACTTAATATACATATCATATCTATATGACACTTAATATGCATGTCAAGTTGTGTTATTCGTTAAAACACTTAATGTCTTAGTGACGGTACAGATAAATGATTAATAATTATATATATTGAAAAATAAAATAATTGATAAATGCATGCGTTGAATATTAAAATAATATTTTATTTAGAGTATGGACTATTATAATGAATTCTTAAAAATATATAAACTAAAATGATTGACGATTTAAAATGATATTTTACTTTGTTAGAGATTATTTTAGTAAATTTTAGAAACAATAAGGACCAAATTAATAGTTTACTTGTTTTAATTTTAAAAATGAATATATATAGATAGTTTGACATTGTTCACTTATGTGATTTATTATAATTTGAAAAATACCATGTTTTGAGTACCTAAATTATACATTCATAATTTTCCAAGTTAGAAAATTTAAATTTATAATTTAATTATTGCACTGATAAACAAATTTAAGGAGTAAAAAAATAAAACAAAAACACCTATCTAAAAAATTGCTACAAATTTGAGTTAAAATAGAAACAAATTTTCTTATTTGCTTGATGAATTTTAAAAAGCTAAAGGGGATGATGATTTTTGAAACTTATCCTTAAATTATATTTTTTAATATATATGCTTTAGATATCTATAAATTTTTGAAGAATTTGATAATAAAAATAATAATTTTTAATATGTTTTGTAATCACCACTCTTTCAACTTAGTTAAAATGAATATAGTATATTTTAAAATTAGATTAACTTATCATATACTTTTGGATGGATATTTTTTTTAATTATTAAATTAAAAATTAAGTATTTTATATACTTAGATATATCAATAAGAAATAACAGAATATTTTAAAATTGTATTTAGTTATATTAATTGAATTAAAAAATATTATAGGATTCAAATTATACTAAAATATTAAAAATGAATTATTATTAAATTCTAAAATTATGCAAAATATAACAATATTATAATGTCAATAGTTAAATATAAAAATAATTTTTTTTAGTGAAATACAGAAAAATGAGATTTATATAAAAATATATTGGCATTTTATTCTTGGGAGTAGTTAAAATTTCAAAAATCACTATTAACGACTTTTAAGCTTAAAAATTAGTTTTTATGATTCAAAAATTATCATTAGTGTGTTTTAAGATTTTAATTTTTTTATAGCCAACAAAAAATTACCATTAGCGTTGTTTATTGACAAAAATCATCCTTGACAAAAATTGTCATTGTCATTTTTTACTTGAGAAATGGCCATTAAAAGTTTTTGAATCTTTGGCTATATAAACCAACTTCCTTTTCATTCTCATTCGTATCAAATTACAATTCTTTTGAGTTTTGATAAAAAAAATTTAATGTAAATATGGTAGTATATTATAATGATGATATTCATAAAAACATAAATAAATACAGGACATTTAAATGTGAGAGATTAATACGTTGATATATTTTGTTTAATATATCATTTCAAAAACTAAAGAAAGTGCTTTATAAGTATTTTAGAATTGGGACTTCAAAAATATTAAAGAGAATCACATATAATTTAAATGATTTTTAAATTATATGTATTTTTAAATGATTATCACTTTTTGAATTTTAATTTATTTTAAATGATTTATCATCTTAAAAATTAGGATAATATTTTCTTTAATTTTATTCTCATTTTATTTTTTATTAAATAAAACAAAATAATATAAAGGGATTTATTTATATTTTTAATAATTTTATTTTATAAAAATTTATATTGGATAATTTTGTTGAATCCTCCTCAAGGGCATAAAGATCTATATTAGTAAATAACTTAAAATGATATAAACTTATAAAACAAGTTATCTTCATCAAATAGATCTATTTTTGTCAAATTAACGTTTAAACTAGTAAAATAAATATTTATTTTAGTGTGATTTAAATATTTAAAAATATTAATTTTTTATTAAAAATAAAAAAATTATTTTATTTTTATGTTCTTGATATATAAATAATTTATTTTTTGATAAAATTTTATCAATTTTAATTACCTAAAATTAACCTTAAGAGTTGATATTTTCAAAACTTATAAAATATTAGCACAAGAAAAAACATTGTTGCCACTCAAAAAAGGGTAGCAGATTCTGGGTAGTGATTTTCACTGCATAAAATTACAACTGAAAATATTTCTTTATCCAATGAAAATAGTATAACTATGTATTTTAAAATTATAAGTTAATGAGATAAGCTCAATTCATCCTCTGATATAAAATTGCGATGGAGAGAATCCCCTTCCCCGAAAAAGGGGAAATGGATTTCAAAGGAACGTGATTGTTTCATTTTAACCTCATTATCTTATTACACTACCACATTCTAGACAGGAAAAGGAAAAATAAAAAATAAAAAATCTTAAGTCTTAAACATTGTGCTTTAATAATATTCTCAAATCCCAAACCTAGTATATCTGTTTAGAATCTGTTGGTATTTGCCTACTTTAACTGCATGTGACCAATGATGTACCACGGTCAATGTCAAGTATCAACTCATTGGTTCCCTTACATTATAATATAAAGTTCAATAATATAATATTAATTAAACCTTGTACAATCTGGGTTTTTCATAACCGAGGGAGGTTTTTGCAGTGTGCACGTATCTGGTGTCAGAAAGATGCAATTTGTTCACCATTTTAAGTTAATTTCCCTTTTTCATATTATATTATATAATACGATATATCATATGATTTACCCATTTGCTTAAAGGATGCTGCTTTATTATTTGGGTTACCTATAAGAAAAATTATAGGGTCATTGAAGCATTTTGATTTCTGTTAGTTGAGGGTCTTGAAGTTGGTTGATCAACTACTGTATACTGGGGAGAGAGGAGGTAAATTTGTGTAGACAAATTACATTAAGAGAGAGGAAGTTCTTCTCTTTATGTGCTGAAGTGTTGAGCAAGCACAAGCAAGATGCCCCTTTTGATGTTGTTTTCTGGCATAAGGTACAATTTGTCATTTGCACCATATTTTGTTGGCTGAGACTTTGTTCTGTTTTTATTTTTATTGTTGTGGGTTGTTGGTGTTTTTCCAATGGAGATGCCGAGATGCAATTGAAGTATGTTTCTTTAGCTCAGGGTTGTTTCCTGATTTTGATGCAATTTGGATGAAGTTTTCCTAGTTTTATTAATCTTGTTAGATATTGAATTTAGAGAAATTGAAGGGACCATTTTATCTAATGCTTCAGGAATGCTCTCACAAAGGATGAACTAGGCCTGGAAATACTGCACATTTCCCTCCCTACTACGCTGGCTTTGGCTGCAGATCCTTTTGCTTCTATAATTGATACTGCATTCATTGGTCACATAGGTTTGTTTAACACTTTTCTTTTCCATTTCTCTAGAAAATGGTAGAGTGATACACTCACTCATCTTAAAGCTTTTCACTATGTTTCTTAATAATGCTATGTTTTTGGTGATTGTCTCTTTCCGTATGCATAAGCTGTGTCTAAGTTCAGTTCTAAGCTTACACTGGGATATTGGTTGGGTACCAGAGCTCATGAAAAGACATTTTGGGTAACAGCATTGTGAATGGTGATAAACAAGAGAACACACTAGCATTTTGATGTTTGGGTAAACAATGCTACAACTATGTGAAGGTCATAATGTAAAAACTTCCACCACAGTTTGACTTGAAATCTAGAATGTAGGACCTGTCCTGGAGATCTAGGGTTCTATAGAATTGAAACATTGAATGATTTATGTATTTATTGTAATGGAAGACATGGTTTTATATGTAATAATGCACTTGAATGAGTCTGTGTCTTAAGTCCTTTCTCTTTCTGTCCTTTAAAGTATTTATAAATAGTTGAAGGGATGGAACAATGCTGAATATTTCTTATGGACTGTTAGATCTATTATGTTTTCTGTAACAAGTTGAATTTCTTAAAATTTTGTCAATTTATCTGTGGTTAGCTTGTGATTGTACTGCATGTAATTGTACTATAACAACAACAAAGTCTTATCTTACTAGATGAGGTCCGTTACATGTATTACAACCTGCTTTGTGATTCTACTGCATCAAATTATATTATAAAATATCATTTTGTAGGTCCTGTGGAGCTTGCTGCGGTTGGAGTTTCAATTGCAATTTTCAATCAAGTCTCAAAACTTACAATAATTCCACTAGTCAGTGTTACAACTTCTTTGGTTGCTGAGGAAGATGCTGCTGACATAGTACAAACTAAACCATCAGAAAAAGAAATGCTGATCAAGGCCTCTTTCGTAAATGAGGAAGTAAAGTTGGAATTAGAAGACCATATAGAGCAATCTGGTATTTTTTTTTTATAGGGAGAAAAACTTGAAAAGCTCTCAACTTGTATTGTATGGATCATTCCATTGAGTGAAATAATTAGATAATCATCAACACATTTTTCTTTCAACTTGAACTTTTCTGGATTAATCTGTCAGCATTAATTTTATTTTATTTTATTTTTATTTAGATTCTGAATGCAGCTCTTCATCAACAAATATTGACAGAGTAGCTAAACTTCACCCTGAGAAAAGCTATATTCCTTCAGCTTCATCAGCAATAGTTATTGGGGGTGTGCTTGGGGTACTACAAGCTCTTTTTCTCATTCTTACAGCTAAACCAATGTTGAATTACATGGGCCTTGATTCTGTGAGTTCTTTCTTTAAAAACCTTTCAGAATTCTGAATGAAATGGATATTGACTTCTGTATGAGATAAAATCATCTTTCTCATCACATGGCCTAATTTGATAATTGTTTGAAGGTTGACCTATCTGATGCTCCTTCAAATTAATTTCATAATTTATATAATTCTTTCAAGAAGAACATTAGTCGTTTTCAGTTTTGATTTCTGGCTATTTGACATCTTCAAGTTAGCTTCCTTATTATTCTATGTAAAATATCTGCCACTGTTATTTTTCATGCAGAATTCTCCTATGTTAAAACCAGCACAACAATACTTGACATTGAGGTCATTTGGTGCGCCAGCAGTTATTATTTCTATGGCAATACAAGGAGTTTTCCGTGGAATCAAAGATACAAGAACTCCTTTATATGCTACATGTACATCATTCCTCTCTTTTTATTGAACCGATATCTCTATCCAGTTCATTACAATGATAATAGATCAGTGTCAGATGGTTGTTAACAATGTGATTATCATTTACATAAAATCGCTTCCTTCAGTATATTGATTTTAATATAATATCCAAAATTCAAAATATAATGTCCTGTTTGTGAATAAAAAATTGCTTAGAAATTTCTGTTTCCAGTTAAGTATGTTCTAAAGATTAGGACTGCAACATAAAAGAATGTAAGTGGAGAATCTATGATTGTTATCAGATTATTCCTTGTCCACATCCGCAGCCAACAACATTGATAAAAAGGGAGAAACAAAAGGCTGACATGAAAAGTTGTTTTTCAATTCTTTTGAGTTAAAAATGAAAGGGATTCTGTAGCATTTTGTACATTCTATTTGTTGTTATAATTCAAACTTGAATCAAATCTGAATACAGTCTAGTGGATTAGTGGAGATCAACTAGATGATACTTCTAAATATAAAATGAATTAGAGACCCTATTCTTATTTAGTAATTTGTGAAGTTTAATTGCAGTAATGGGAGATGTAACAAATGTCATTTTAGATCCATTACTTATGTTCATACTGCGGTTGGGAGTCAGTGGGGCAGCCATTGCCCACATTATCTCCCAGTAAGTTCACCTTTGGTCTTCATTTTTGATTCCGTATGTCTCATCACAGACTTGATATTCCAATTGAGAAGTCATGTTACACTTTTTTTTCATATTTTACTTATGTGGCATGATTTAACAGGTACGTGATGTCCGTAATGCTACTATGGAGTTTAATGAAACAAGTTGATCTTCTGCCTCCAAGTATTCGAGACTTTCAATTTGGGAAGATTCTTAAAAATGGTTAAAATTTTTATCTATGCCTTTTGTTTTTTAGAATCTCCTGGTTCCTAATTTTTCACAATTTAGCAGCTGAACCTACATGTTATTTTGTTTAGAGAAGCTTTAAAAATTTGACCTACAAAGACTCTAGTAAACTACTTGCTTATCTGAACTGTACATTCTAGTAATGACAGAAGTTGCCATTCCTGCGTGAACAACTGTCTATCTGATCACAATTTTCTAGCTGATGTTATTTATGCATTTCTTTTGAGTTATTGATGATCCAGAAGCCCACTCCTTGTTTCAGAAACTGATTTGGCAGTTCTCATTTATTAATGTTGTCTGTAATGTGTTGATTTTTTTTCCCTGAAAAACTGTTTCTCTGGTTTTATGTTTATTACGTGCAAAACAAAAACTTTGGTTAAGTTCAAAGATCTATCCTGGTATTGAATGTTCCTTTCCTCAAAAAAAGTAAAAGAGATCATAAAACTCACTGTGGTCCTAATTTGCAAAACTAGATAGGATCTTGCATCACCACCTAACACAATTAATTGTAAATTGTCAAGATAAATGCATAACTTAGTATTCCTGTGGGCTATTCGATCTGAATCTGAACAGTTTCCTTTGCTTTGTCATACATTTCAGTGGAAGAAGATTGTTTTCTGGGATTCCAGAACCCTTTTTTTTTCCTACTGCTTGAATTTGATCATTCTCTTTTAGTCTTGTATAAAATATGTTTGATACATTTTTAATAACAAATTTCTAACTTTGTTTTCTTCCCTTGGTTGTAGGCTTTCTGCTATTGGTTAAAGTTACAGCTGTGACTTTTTGTGTGACCTTGTCAGCATCCCTAGCAGCAAGGCAAGGATCAACAACAATGGCTGCATTTCAGATATGCTTACAGATTTGGATGGCAACTTCTTTGCTTGCTGATGGATTGGCTGTGGCTGGACAAGTAAGAAAATGATTCTTTATGAAAATGTAACTTTTACAACCTAGATGGTTGGGATGAAGAATTTCTATTTGTTTTCATGCACAAATATTTTATTATATATGGAGGACCTAGTGCATAAGGATCCCACCTAGTTAGGTTTGGCAGGGAAGAAAGTATGTAGCCTTATCCTTGCAGATAGAGGCTTTTTCTAAAATTTGAACAGGATATGTTATTGTTGGGTCAAGGCTTACCTTCTAAGCACTAATATTTTACTAAAATCTAAAACTCAAATGACCTCTAATGCTTAAGACTACATATAAGTGAACATCCAAGGAAATGAATATATGCATTTATAGAAGTAACTAGCAAAGTAACTAACTACATTCAGCACATCTATGGCTGAATATCATCTCCAAGGACCATGAGAAATGAAGCAGCACAGACTTGGCTACTAAGTCACATTCCAGATTTATTAGTAACTTACATGCCAACACCATTCGTTGCAATTTCCTATGTGATTGCATTTAGATTGTTTCTACATGCTTCAGTGTTGCATTTGCCTCAGAATCATAATTAATTGCATACATTCTCATGCTTTGTTTGTGATGTCTATTATCATTCATGTATCCATCTTCACTCAAGACGATTCTATTTACTCAAAAATATGTTCCTTTTAATACATTCGAGCAACATTGACCATAGCAAAAGACTATTTTCAGGCTATTATTGCAAGTGCATTTGCAAAAGGGGATTACAAAAAGGTTGTCACATCTGCCTCACGTGTGTTGCAGGTACTTTGACGTTTTACCATTCATATTATTTATTTAGCTATTCATGGTCTTAATTCACCTGTCTTTGCATAATTTGTTCATGCAGCTTGGCTTGATTCTTGGGCTGGTGCTTGCAATCCTTCTTTTTTGTCTTCTACCATTTGCTTCTAGGTTATTTACAAATGACATCAATGTTCTCCGTCTTATCAGCGTTGGCATTCCAGTAAGTAATATCCCTATGATATAAAATAAGAGTACTCGCTATTCCTCCTTTCTACATCCTAGGTATATATTGGTCCTCAAATTATAAAAGCTGATATGTTTTTCCTCTCTTTTACTTGGATAAATACTTTGCTAGTATGTTGCTGCCACTCAACCCATCAATGCTCTGGCATTTGTTTTTGATGGAGTCAACTATGGAGCTTCTGATTTCATATACTCCGCTTACTCAATGGTAACTTTTGATAATTTTTTCTTCTGTTGACTCAAAGCAAGTATCTGAGATGGTGTTCATGAATCATGAATGTTGATCAGCTTTATTTTTTGCTTTGGCTTTGAAAACAAGGAAAACATATATTGTTAATGATGATAATTGTTGTCAAGTTTTGAATAAGACTCTTACAAGCTTACAATTCTAGTTAGAGAAATCGAGTTATCTTGTTATCAAACTCTTCTCTAGATAAACTGGGGTAGACTTGGTAAACTTGTGGAAACTTACATAAACTCTTACGTCAAGAAGTGTGTTAGCATAGTCATATGTAATTTTTGCCAATTGACGCAAATACAGTGTTTTATGCTGGACATGCATTGTTTTTTATGCCAACATAAATGCAATATTTTACCAGGGCTCAAATCATTTACGCATAATGATTAAATCCTTACCATTATCTTGTTTTTGCATGACTTGTGATGCAAAAAACATTGTTGATATCAGTTATAGAAATTGATCAATAACATTGTAGATGGACCATAGTTTTGGGGCCAAATCAAATGATAACTCGTGTGTAAAAGTATCTAGATTCAATGTTTATGTGTCCTATTATGAATTGTGATCAGTTCTTAACCCATGTTTGAAGTCATAGTTTTTCTAAATAAGTTAATATTAATTTAACTCTTACAAGCTTACGAGTTAAGTCTACAACTCAAGTTTATAAAGTTCTATTAGTTTACTTAAATTCTCTAGCTTGACAATCTTGCTTTTTATATTCTCTCTCTTATGGCTTTTGTACTTGCTATTACTCCCAGATTATGGTAGCATTGGTGAGCATATTTAGCTTATATATGTTGTCCTCAAGCCTTGGCTTTACTGGTATCTGGATTGCGTTGTCGATTTACATGAGTCTAAGGATTTTTGCTGGCTTTTGGAGGTAACTTCTTTTGCTACACATAAATGACTTCCTGCTTTTGAGATATCAGTTGTTAAGCAATAATATAGGAGACATTTTCTCCTCCACTTCTCATGCAACCCACATTTCATTTCAAATAAAAAGGAAATTAATAAGTGTTTTTGTTTTAACTGAGCACACAATAACATACATATAAGTTATCAGACGATCCAATGCATTCATTACATTAAATTTTACAATTTCTATAAAAAACTTACTATTTATTGATTTCTTATTTATATCCTTGTACACTTTATACTAAAAATGTAATCGTAGCAAATTATGGAACCATGTATATGACAAAGGATTAAAAGATGTAGATCTTTAATTTGCAGGATTGGTACTGGATCAGGGCCTTGGAGCTTCCTTAAGGAAAACTATGTTAGATTTCACTAGTTCCATGCTATTATTCTGATTCTCAGGTGCACAGCACACGCCACATTGAAGAGAATACTCCCATCATGGGTTGCTCTTTTAAAAGGGTTATTTTTATTTTAAATGATTTTTTTGACTCCGTATGAATCTACATGTATATATATATATGTATGTGAAAGACAATATCTAGCTAGAGATGAAATTTTAGGAAAAAGAAAAAATTTATCTGCAGCTGTTTTATTCAACATTAATGTTTTATTTTCAATTGAAAGACCTTGAGCATCTATTTAAAAGGCTGCAATGGATGAGCTAATCCTCATAGTATATTTCATCTTGTATCGATTACGATACGAAACAATGCTGCTCTCATGTGTGGGATTTCATAAGTGATCTTGGGAACCTTAGGATCGTTATAAAATAATAAAATCATTCTTTAGAATGAATGAATATTCAAACGATTTTGCATCTTGAGTGCCTTGTATACTTTACTAAATAATGGCATGGGTAGAGAGTTATAAATAGTGTTTCCTCTCTCAAAATTTATTGTCTTACATTTTCATTTAAAGTAATTTTAGAAAATATTTGAAAGATGATTTTTAGAGAAGAAAGCGAGAAAGATATATTTTTTAATTTTAAATAAAAAATATAATATTAATGATGATAAATATATAATTAATATATTAAATTTATATTAATATATTAATTTATATTTTTATTTTAAAACAAATATTAATTTTAAATATTTTTAAAATAAAAAAATTACTTTTTTTTTATTTCCTTCTCAAACAACCTCTTAAAAAATAATTAAGTATTTTTCAGCTTTAATAAAGAAATTTTGTAAATGTACCTTTATTTTCAAAAAATAAACATCAAAGCAAATTGTGGGGCCTAACTGTCATGAGTGTAATTTGTTAAAAAAAAAGAAAGATGATGAACGGTGGTATACCTGTTAGAGCAATATTATTGCATGAAAGCAAATTCTATAAGATTTTATCAATAAAAAGTTAATATAATTTCTATACAATATCATATTTTTATTAATTTACTTAAAATAAAATTATTTGTTACATAAAATAATTTAATTAATCCTATAAATTTCTGTTAATTCATCTCTTTATTTTTTTTTATTTTTTTTTTCAATCCAGAAATTTATTCAGCTGCACCCGTGTATATATGACTCCTCTTGGCACTTGTAACACAAACTAGAACCCCCTTTTCCATCGAGTTCCCCAAATTGTTGCATTTCTCTCTATCCAAAGCAAGTGCATAGTTTATGGTAGTGGTTTTGCCAATGATACAATTCAATCTAACCAAAGCTCAATTATCATGAATCTTATTGGGGTGAACTAGTCACCGAGGCCTGACACAACGTAGTTACTGCAATATGAAAATCCAACCCAACATGATATATCACCAACTAAAGGCCGTTCGTTATCTATGTGCATTATGAAGGTTACTCTCTGTTACAGATGCCCAATATTTTATAGAAGTCGTGGCCCTTCATAATCCAACTCTCTGTTCTAAATCTAAGCATTAGTATTTTGCATGATTACATCTGATTTTACCTTATCTTTTGAATTTCATTTATAACGTTGTCCAACACATTTTAAAGACAAGGGTCGACTTGTGATCGATAAATAAGTTTGTGTTCACACCTTACATCATGAGATTGTTACACCTAATTTGTAGTTTATTTGCAAGTTGCTTTAAACACCGTCTCAATTAATTAGTAATTTATTTGCTAGTTGCCGCAAATGCATATTTCATACAGGTCATTAGAAAGGTAGAATTATATATAAACAAGTTGGTAATTCCTCCTTATATCAGACTATTCTATCTAATTCATAGTCAATTATTTTGCCCACCACTGCGAATAAAGAAAGACTTGATAGTTGGCCATTGACTAGACATTCTATAAATATTATTCCTCTTTGCACTTGTGCCACAAACTAAAATCAATCCACAAGTGCATTGCATTCCTATCTCTGATCTCTGTTCTCTCCCCAAAACCATGGCTGAATCAGTCCTCTTCAGCGTGGCAGAGTCACTCATAGGGAAGCTTGCTTCCCGTGCTATGGAAGAAGCTTCTCTGGCTATGGGTGTGTATGATGATCTACGAGAGATGAAACAGACTATCTCGTTCATCAAAGCCGTCCTGTTAGATGCAGAGCAAAAGCAACACCAGAACAACCAGTTGCGTCAATGGCTCACGCAGATCAAGCACGTGCTCTATAACGCCGAAGATATCGTCGATGACTTTGAGTGTGAAGCGTTGCGAAAGCATGTTGTTAAAACTCAGGGCAGCGTGTCCAGGAAGGTACGCCGTTTCTTCTCAGGTTCTAATCCTATCATATATCGTCTTAAAATGGCACATGAGATTAAAGAAATCAATAAGAGATTAAACAAGATTGCAACTGATAGAAACAATTATGGCCTTCAAACCAATAATGTTGATACGCGGGTCGTGCATAGGAGGGAGTTGACCCATTCCCACGTAAATGCTTCTGATGTGATAGGAAGGGAACAGGATAAGAAAAACATCATTGAACTTTTGTTGCAAGACGATGATGGTGGAAGTCTCTCTGTTATTCCCATTGTGGGAATTGGTGGCTTGGGAAAGACCACGCTTGCAAAGACAGTTTTCAATGATAACAGTATTCATGAGTCTTTCGAGTTGAAGATGTGGGTGTGCGTGTCTGACGATTTTGAACACAAACAAATGCTTATTAAGATCCTCAACTCTGCTCCAAACCTGAATCAACAGAACTATAAGGACCTCGAGATGGAGCAGCTACAAAATCATGTGAGAAATATGCTTGATGGTAAAAAGTTCTTTCTTGTCTTGGATGACGTGTGGAATGAGGATCGTGTTAAATGGGTTGAGTTGAAGGGTTTAATACAAATTGGTGCCAAAGGAAGTAAAGTCCTAGTGACTACTCGTAGCCATTCCATTGCTGCCATGATGGGCACTAAACCCTCGTACTCCTACCCTTTAGAAGGTCTTTCTGAAGTGGATTCCATGACTCTGTTCATTAAATGGGCTTTTCAAGAAGGAGAAGAGAAAAAGTATCCAGAATTGTTGTTGATTGGAAAAGAAATTGCCAAAAAATGCCGAGGGCTTCCGTTGGCAGTGAGAACTCTGGGATGTTCACTGTTCTCAAAAGTTGATACAGAAGCGTGGAAGTTAGTTAGAGACAGCGAGATTTGGAATTTACCACAAAATGATGATGACATTTTGCCGGCTCTCAAATTAAGCTATGATCAATTACCTTCGTATTTAAAACGATGTTTTGCTTGCTTCTCCCTTTTTCAAAAGGATGTTAGAGTTAGTAGTTTTAATGTTTCTGCGCTTTGGGAGGCACTTGGTTTCCTTCCATCGTCAATGCAAAATAAAACATTGGAAGACAGTAGCACTCAAATTTTGCATGAGCTGCACGCGAGGTCTTTCGTTGAAGATTTTGTTGACTTTGGTAGTAATTGCTCATTCAGATTACATGATTTGGTGCATGATCTTGCACTATATGTCTCAAAAGATGAGTTTCAACTCTTGAAATCATGCAGTCAGAATATATCTGAAAATACCCAACATTTGTCAATGGCTGAAGACAATTTGTTTGGCCAAGCTTCCTTTCCTACAGGTCTAAGAACCATTATTTTTCCTCTCGGAGCCAACAATGAAGCTTCCTTGAATTCATTGTTGTCGAGGTGCAAATACTTGCGGTTTCTGGAAATAAGTTATTCTGATTACAAGAGTTTGCCTAGCTCCATTGGTAAGTTGAAACATTTAAGATGTCTCATTCTTCAAAATAATACAGAACTTTCAAGACTCCCAGATTCAGTGTGCAAACTCCAAAATTTGCAAGTTTTACGACTCGATGATTGCAAAAGCCTAGAAGCATTGCCCAAAGGCATAGAGAACTTGATCAACCTTCGCCAGTTGTATTTAACCTTTAAGCAATCTAGTTTTCCAGAGATTGCAAAATGGACTTCTTTAGAAACTTTATCCTTGGATTCTTGCGACAACCTGAAGTCATTATTTGAAGGGATACAACTTCCTCGTCTTAAATTTTTTGTTATTAATTCTTGTGGGAGTCTAGAGTCTTTGCCATTTCATGCCATTCCAAACTTGGAGAGTTTGGCTATTTTCAGCTGTCATAAGTTGGAATTGTCAAAAGAACTTGACGAAAATATTCCCAGTTTGAAATTAAAGTTACTTGTTCTTTGTGATTTACCGCAACTGGTCACTTTGCCTCACTGGTTGCGAGGATCTTCAAACACATTGCAATCCTTGCTAACTGTCAAATGTGTCAATCTTGAGGAACTTCCTGGGTGGTTTTCGACTTTGATTTGTGTAAAAACACTTACAATTGGAGATTGCCCAAAATTAATATCACTGCCTGATAACATGCATCACCTCACAAACCTTGAATATTTATTAATTGACGATTGTCCTGAATTATGTGAAAGATGCCAACCGAACGTCGGAGAGGACTGGCACAAAATATCACACATCAAGCAAGTTATCCTTCGTCGACAAGAAGAGGAAGAGTAATTCTCAGATAACATTACTCAGAAGTTTGAAGGTACAATTTTTCTTAATGATTTTTATAATGCTTTTATTTAGATGACTTACTTTTTACATTTCGGAGGAAGTCATTTTATTGTTTATATTTAATATTATATATTTTCTTATTCTTTGTCCTTTTTGCTGTTATTTTCCCGCATTATATACGGATTTCTTGATGCTTTTTGTTTCAACCTGTTTGCTCTTTTGAGTTCAATGGTAGAACTATCTTTAAATATTGACAACTGAGCATATGTTTTTTCCTTTTACTTAGCATATTACATTTTAATATTTTATAACGTCTTGAAGTTTGTTGCAGTAAATTATTTTTATTAGTGTCTCAATTTCTTTTTTCATTGAATACACATATAGAATAGATAAAAAAAAATTGTATTTAACTTGAATTTGATACATTATTCAACTTTAAAGAAAATGCTTTTCTCGCATTGCATTTCAATATAATAATATTTGTTTTAAATAAGTTTGGAAGAACTTTGTTCATCTATTATTATTGAAAATTGTTTTTGGATTATTGATGATGAATTTTGATGATATATCTTATTTTATTGTTCTACTTTTATTTTAATCTTATGTAATTTGATGAATTTTTGGAAAAATTGTTTTATACTTTCTCTGCTTTATCTTTTTTGTATATTAATTTTTAATTGATATTAAAATTATTGTTTCTTAATTTGAACTCTACAAACTATTGAGTGAAACATTGTTAAGAGTTAATAGGAAAACAAAAACAGATACTCGCAAGAAATTTAAATGAATTTTGAATTTTTAAGTAGCTTGAAATATCATACATAAACATTTCCTAATCACTCAAGTATTTGGTTTCCTTGATGCTATTGGAGAGTAATTTTATGAAACAAGTTTTTCTCTTGCCTTTGAGTGTTAAATTTGGAAAGAATCTAAAAGATAGCTGTAATTTGTATCTATAATTTTTCTATTATTAAAATCTCATGGTTTAATTACTTATAATTTAGCTATTCATGGTCTTAATTTACTTGACTTGAATCATTTGATCATCCAGCTTAGCTAGATTCGGGGTTGGTTCTATCATTCATTCTCTTTTCTTCTAGGTTTTTCATAAATGACATCAGTGTTGACATTATGGTAAGTAAAATATACTTATAAATTAATATATTGGTTTTACAAATATGTAGAGCTGATATGTTTTTTGTCTTTTTTATTTGATGAATACTTAGCTATTATGTTGTTGCTGCTCAACCCATCAATGCTCTGGTATTTGTTTTTGATGAAGTCAACTATGGAGCTTTGGATTTCACATACTTTACTTAGTGCTGAGTTGGGAAAAATTAATTTTTTTATATGCATCAAAGCAAGGATTTGAGATGGTGTTCATGAATTATGAATGTTGATCAACCTTTGATTTTGAAAGCGAGGAAAATGAAATATTGTGAATGATGATTGACCACTAACATTCTTACATCATTTCTCATGCAACTCATTGTTCATTCCACGTAATAGGTAAATTTAATAAGAATATAACCATAACAAATTACGGAATAATGCATGAGACCTTGGAATTTATGAGATTGGTATTGATTCAGAAAGTTTCCTTAAGAAAATACACCTTCGGCAATTCCATGGTATCAAAATGAAAATGCGGCAACAGCGTAGATGAACTGCTCGTCATGGGATTGTTCGTCTGTCGTTGACAAACACATGAAAAGCAGTGTTGATCTCAAGTTGGGACTTGACATGCAATCTACGAGGTGTAAAAATTATTTTAGTTTTGTTTTTAGTATTCAACGTTAAGATATGCCTTTAAAATTTTTATAATAATGATAAGTGCTCCTTATTCCATAAAAAAATACATTGAATTTGTTTATTTTTTGAAATATTAACAATGAAAGTGTACAGATATTATAAAGAATATGTTAGTAATAAATATGTCAAATGAGTGTTTAACTATGCTTTAACCAAAAATTTAAAATAAATTAATTATAATTCATTTTAATTTCTTAGAGGAGTTATATAATTTTAGGCTTAGTTTGAAAGTGTAGAGGAGAAGGGAAGAGAAGAGTTTGAAGGGAGAAAAATGAAAGGAGAAAAGAGGAAGAAGGAAGTTAAACATTTCCCTTATTTAGATGTTTAATATTGAGAGAGGAGGGTAATAGATGATTTAATTATAAAAATGATACCATTATATTTTATATCTTTTATTTATACTTTTTTATAAAAATAAAAAATAAATTTTTTTTCTCAAAAATTAATTTTAAAAATTAATATTTGAAAAATTAATATTTTTATTTTTTATAAATTTTAAAAAAAATTTACTTGAAAAACTAATATTTTAAAAAAAATTAATATCTGAATCATTAAAGAGTATGAGAGAGTAAGAAAGAGAAAATCTCTAAAAAACTCTAGATTGGAGAAACTTAAAAAACTAGTGTTAGGAGAGTTTTAAAGGGTTTAGAAAAATCCTCAAAACCTTCCATTCTCCCCTTAAACTCAATTCCCAAATGTAGCCTTAAAGTAGAAGGGAGAGGGAGTGTAATATACATCTTCTAAGGTGGAGAATGTAATTTACTTTATTTTTAAATTAAACATTTCAGTCACATTAAAACAAATAATTATATATATATATATATATATATATATATATATATACTAGAATAAAAATTATTTTAACTTTACACAATTTTTTGAATTGGATAATTAGTTTCTTTAATACTTTATTAAGTAAATAGGAATATAACCTTTATTTACTTGCTAATAAATAATTGTATTTATAATTATATGAAAGATTTATAACCCAATTTAAACCTAAAAGAAAATATTAATATTTCACTAAATAAATAAGAAATACTAATATTATTCCGTTGAAATGATAAGTAAAGATTATTAAAGATCATTAAAAAATATTTTAGTGGAAAGAAAAAGAACAATCTAAAAGAGGTGAAGGGAGCCATATTCCTCTCTTCTCTTCCTCACTCAAAATCTTTTGTTAGTTTTTGGATTTTTTTTGTTAGTTTTTGTAGAAAAGTAATTTTCGTTTAAATCAAATTATGAAATTTTTTATCTTATTCCTTTCTAAATTATAGAAAATTTGAAAAACTTTTATTTCTTATTAATAACTACCTAGTTAGCAAATACCTTTATATATATATATATATATATATATATATATATTATCCCACCAAATATTTTAAATATATTTATCTAGTGTGCTATTTGTCCTAAGCATTAGTAAAGTAGAACTATTTAAAATTAAGTTAAATTGTTGAGAATGATGATAAGAATTATAAGAATAATGACTTTGAGAAATTGGCTTAGAAATAGTTGACCTTGTGATTTTGCACAAAGTTTTTCAAATTTTCTGTAATTTAAAGAGAAAAAAGATAAAATTTTAAAATGTTTTACAATTTTGGTTAAAGTAAATTTTTTTAATTTGAGCATAAATTACTTTTTATTTATTTATCAAATTTACTTAAACAAATTTTTTTACTTAAGCAAATTTAAAGTGCATGCTGCAATTCCTACTTAAATTTCAAAGGATATGAAACCCTTTTGTTGGGTGTGAGGAGAATATTTCTCAAAATATTTAAAGTTTAATTGTAGTTTGAGTTACTATAATTTAATTTATATGCAATTTTGATTTTTAGTTTTAATTGTTCACATTTTGTTTTCTAATATTTTAATTATTTAAATGAAGTTTTTTACTTGATAATTTTATTTAATAATCAACAACATATAAAAAACATATAATATATCATTGATTTAAATAAGTTTATAAAGATATATATAATTAATTAAAAATAAAAAGATTTTATTATATTTTACAATTTTTATTTAATATTTTTTAAAAATAATTTATACATTTTTCTTTATTAATATATATAAATTAATAATACGTCTTTGATTATATTTTTTATTAATTATTGAATAAAGTTTTAGAATAAACAACTTAACTTAAAATAAGTTTGTTTTTAGCTGTAGTGAGACCTAGGAATTAATGGTCGTCATGGTATTGGTCGACAAACACATGGAAAGCAGAGATTATCCATAAACCTGAAGGATGGCAACTTTTGGGTATTTCTCCACCAACCCCTCTATCACCTCCTTGCTCAGCGGAGCCCCACTATAGCAGCCACCAGACCGTAGATGTGGAACATGGGCACTATGTCGATATATGAAGGTTTCCCCCTCTTCCATTCTGAACCGACCCAACACGAATTGAACCATCGCGTTCCTTCTTCATCATCTCCTCAAGTGTGGTAACGATTCTGAGAGGGTATGAATTGGGTGAGTTTGAGGATCGAGGAGGGGAGGGATTGTGAAGGCGAGCATCGGCGAATGCAGGACCATGAAAACGCAGGAGCGAATCTCAAGGGAGGATGATCTCTTTTACTAGTTAAATCTTTGTACCCAAATATTGATTGAAGTATCCATGGCTAGTACTAAATATTGGTAAAAGTAAAGAATTTTAAATGTTTACACAAAAATATTTAGATTCATGTTAACATGTTTAGTGTCAGTTATCAAAAAATATTATTAAAATTTTTTTGACCTCTTCATGCAACTCTTCTTTTGTACTTTCCATTTATAGTAATAATTTCAATGTTTTATTAAAAAATTATGATTCATAGTGAAAATATGATACAATTGGTGTTGTAGATAGTGAATGTTTTGTATATCTGAACACTTCTCTATCACCATCATGATCTTATTTTCTTTCTTCTTCATTACTCTCACATTTCTTCTCTTACTTTTCTCATGATTTTAAATTACATTTCTTTTCATACTTTCAAATTATTTTTATTTAATTTAGTTTATCATTAGTTTCTTATGCGTTGTCTTTGTTTATATTGCACTGGCAAGCTACCTATTTATTTTGTAGATTTGCAGTTTTTTCCAGTATCAATTTCCCTGCATGCCTTTATGAATCGAAGGAAAATATATTCTGAGCGAATCAGTTCTTATTAATATTAGAAACGTTGCTTTTTAGTTTGGTA